CAACCTTCCTTCCGAGGAGTGGCTGGTGGGTTTGAACTGCCAGCCTTCTGGTTAGCAGTCAAGTGCTTTAGCCACTATGCTACCAGAGCTCCTCAAAAAAGAATAAGAAAATAGAATAAGAAAACATAATCCTAGAGATAAAATGAGGGCATTATACACCAGTTAAACACTAGAAAACAATGAAAAACAGGGAACATCTGTTACCCAGAACGGGAAGAAGTGGCCCAGACATCTTTACAGTACTGAATTGAAGTATTATAGGATACAAATGTTTCTCAGCATTCATCTTTGGAAGGAGGACGATGTTTACTGATGACCCTGGAGAGTCCTAAATCCTATTATCCTGTGTAGAAACTCACTATGTTTCTAAAATTGTTTCCTTTTTCCTTGGTCTAATCCCAGAGTTTGGAGAATTGGAACCAAATGGCATCTTCTAAAATCTCAAGTCCAAAGTTTATTAGGGGGAAGAGAGGACTGTAGAGTGGTTACCAGTGTGATAAAGGAGTGCCTTTGGAATTTCCTATTTTTTCTGACTCATCCATTATTATAGATGTGAGACCATAGCTGTGTAGTTAGTCTGGTTTCTTTTAAACTATCATAAGCTCTTAATACAACTAGGGGCATATATAACCCTCATTTCTGCTTATAAAGTAATTTAGTAGGACAAAACAGTAATAAATTTAAAAATCACATACAATCTAGGGGAAGACAGGGGAGGGGGTTTACTGTAATCCATAAGAGAAAATGTAGTAACAAAATTAGAGGTGTCTTAATTACGAATTTTTTTTTTACATAAATCAATCTATCATTAGAAGAGTATTATGCATTCACCATAAAGTAATAATACCACATAGTATTTGATCTTAACATGCATTTTAATGTCCTGGTTTTTGATCCCTGAATCAGTGGCATCACTAGGGTTGATTTCACCTGGTGGGGTAACTCATGGTGTCAAACACCCCCCACTCCCTATAGATCACCTCCCATACCAGACCATACAGAATCATTAGCAATGTTTATTATTGGTTTTAATCATAGAATAAAATGTGGTAAGTATGGTTATAAATAGTTTAAAGGTGATATTTCTTAAGGCATTTGACTGCTAACCAGAAGACTGGTGGTTCAAACCCACCAGCCACTCCTCGGTAGGAAGATTGAGCAATCTACTTCCGTACAGATACCACCTCAGAAACCCAAGGAAGGGTAGCTGTGAGTTGAATCAACTCGATGGCAGTGAGTTTGGTATTTTGGTTTTAACGACAAAATTGTTTTGTAAAGTCTTTCTACATTGAATTAC